GGTGGAGCCGGTTCGCCCTTGCATCTACCCTTTGGCCTTCACAGCTGGTCACAGAAAGTGTAATAGCTTGAGCCTGGCCGACCTCAGTCGGTCAAGCAGGCTTTCGTCTTCCAGCCTCGGTTTCTCCATGACTAGAACGGAGACAATATGCCCTTACTTCCTTGCCAAGCGCCTCTGTGCAGTTGGGTGCTTTGCATGGATGTACTCACATGATTGCCACTAAGCCCTACTGGGCGGACCCATTACCATCTCCACTTCACAGAGGGGCAAACTGAGGCTTAGAGGACAGCACGCTGGAGGCAGAGGCAGAACTGGAGCCCAGGATGCCCAGTCTGATCCTGGGCTCGGGTAGCCTGGTCTGGTCCCCGACAGGAACCCAGTCCCTCCCAAGTGATTCGAGAAGCAGCAGCCGGGCGGGGCGGAACCGTGGGTGTCCCTGGCGTCCCAAGGTGCCAATTAAATGCTCGTGGCTGTCTGGGGACAGAGCTGTGGACGGCAGCATGGCCGAGCCGGGGCCAGAGCCAGGGCGCGCCTGGCGGGTGCTCGCCCTGTGTGGGGCCGCAGTGTTCCTGGCGGCAGCAGCAGCTGGGGCAGCCCTGCTGGCCTGGAATCTGGCCGCTGCGGCCTCCCGGGGGTCTCGCTGCCCAGAGCCAGATCAGGGGGTCAACGCCACAGCGCCTCCGTGGGACAGGGTGCCCGAGGTCGAGGAGCTGCTGCGGCGGCTGGCAGAGGCCACCCAACGCGAAGAGGTTCTGACCAGGAAGCTAGACCAGGCTGAGGGTGTCCGTTGGGAGCTGGAGGAGGCACTGCGGGTCTGTGAGGGCCGCCAGGTATGTGAACAGGGTTGGGTGCTAGGGCATCCAGTGGGGGGAGAGGGCATGCACCCCCCACCCCAGAGATCACCTCCACGCCGGGCCTTGGTTTCCCCAGTTCTTCAATGTGAATAAGAATAGTACCATAATCCCTTCCAACTCCTACATTGCCAGTTTACCCTTGAGTCCATCTTCTGATTTAGGAGGCCCCACCATCCTCTATTTACTGGATTAATGGTGGTGGCTGGAGAAGCCCCAGATCCCAGCCCACCTGAGAGGCCCTGTTTTATTCTCCCCACCAGTGTCCAGCAGCCCTATTTCAGGATAGGAACATTCATGTCACCTGTAATTAGGAGGCTAAAACTGGCTTCTTGGAGGATGTACCAGCTAGGTCCTCCCTTTTCCTCTGACTACCCCTTTCTAATTCTTTCTTAACCCTTCGTCAGCCCTGGGCCTCAAAGAAGAACCACCCGCAAAGTCCCAACCATTCACATTCAGTAACTAACTGTGCCCCTCTATGTACTGAGCCCAACAGAGGTTGGGCAGTATGTGAATTTTAGAAATCAAAACAAACCACTTACCCCTTCCCTGCCTGGCTAAGGGAAGAGCCTGGGGCAGCCGAAGTTAAGAGCAGCCTGCGCTGGCTTCAAATTATGATTCTGCCTCCTGATGGAGGATGCTCTGAGGCCACGACAGTTGCTTTGCAGAATGTTTCACAGAGGTGACAAGCTTACCCCAGAAACCCAATCACTGTCAACCACCAAATGGACTTGTGATTGTTTGAAACCCCAGAGAGCGAGTCTAGATGTAGTTGGGATTGGAACCTGAATCTGACTGCAGAGCTTCAACTGTTTTCACATCCCAGTGGCTTGAGGTTGGGGGCCAGTGAGCCTGGGCAGAGACCTCCTTCCAGGCAGTCAGCTGTCACCACGCGGTACCCCAGACTTTTGCGGCCACTACTGTGTTTTACAACTACAGGACCCCAAAGGACATTCCAACAAAGCTCAGGAAACACCAGTGTCGTCTCCCCTGGAGAGGGCGGGGCCGATTCACTCCTTCTGCCCTCCTTTCCCCTCTCACTTCCCCTCCACTGTTTCACTCTGCAGAGCCAGCTTCAGACCCAGCTGATGACACTGAAGACTGAGATGGACGAGGCCAAAGCACAAGGGACCCAAATGGGGGCCGAGAACGGGGCGCTGACAGGTGTGTTGGGGCGCAAGCGTGCTGGTCAGGTCTAGAGGTGGGAATTACGCACAGGTGCAAACGACACTTATTAAATTGCACATAATATACAATGGTAACAAAAACGCAAATGCAACAACATATGCAAACGCCATATAAACGACTTCCAAAATCAATGCAAACCTATGAAAAGCTATGCAAATGACCCGTAAAGGCCATGTACAGACCACACAAATATAATTCAAATAAAGCAAAGCACGCAAACAATAGGCAGACTACAAACTTGGACGCCGGCGCGCGCGAGGTTGGGAGCTAGGTCTCCCGCCTGACCGCGTCCGCTGCCCGCAGAAGC